TCGATATTTTTGAGATTTTTAGAGTAAAAAAGACAAGAGAGTTTTTATCTATGTTTGAACAGATTTTGTAATTTTAAGCAGGGACCATTTGATTTTTATTTGTTAATTAAAAGGGTAGTATTGCCTTTTAATACAAACATATTTTGTAATTGTTTTAATTATTTAAGGGTGTTTTTGTTTTTTCACAGTAAATGAGTCATTTTAGAATTATTGTCAATTGTAAAAATTAAAGTGGAATTATGGGTTTTGACTAGATTATTTTTTAAAAGAACCGCTCTGTACCCGGCCTACAGAAGATATCTGTACGTGGCTCCTTGGGGAGGAAAAATGACTACCAAAGTCACCGTGCACCCTACCTTTTTATTTTGTTGATTTTAGACTCAATCGTATTACTCTTTGTGTTTCTATGCAATAGCTTTTCAATGGAAAACAATGGTAGTGTGAGAGATGGCAATATCAAAGCGGAAGATGTTATATCGAAACTCAAAGATGAAGGAGATTTTGACAGGCTCCGTGTTAAAATCGTCCGTAAACTCAAAGAAAATGTGAGTATATATCTATGTATGTATTTATATAAATAAACAATTGAATCAATTAATTTAAGTACCTAGGGTTTATTTGAAAAGTGATGAAACGACTTGAAATGTGGCAGAAGTGTTTCCTCAATTTTAATTTACTGCTACACATTATACATAGGAGTGATTCTGTATATATCTGTTTGCCTTTTTAATTGTAGAATAATGAATTTCAGTTTTTCATTAATGTGAAATGAATGCACATGATACATATCTATAGTCGACAATGTGACGATACCTATTCAAATGACAAAGACAACTATACAAAGTGCTTAAGATAACAATACAAGCTGGTAAGACTCTAATTTAGATGTTGAGGTGATCAATCCGTATCAGTTGGTGATGAGCTTTGATAAGGTGGTGAAAAGTTTCGAGGGTTGTTATCTTCAATCTTCTTGTTACATTCCAGCTTATCCTTAATAGGCCCCCAAGATGGAGCTCCCATTGGAGATTCCAATCTTGGATAATGTTTGAACATGACAGTAGATAATGGCTTAGTAAGAGTATCAACCAGTTGACGTTAGAGAAAATATAGGAGACAGCAAATGAGTTACTTGTAACATGATTACACACAAAATAATAATCAATAGTAACGTGCTTCATGCGGACTGTGAAAGATGTAGCTCTAATGTTGTGACATAATATGGTAGGGAGATGAGGTAATTGCAATTGAGCTTGTGTAATATATTTTTTGTCCAAAGAACCTTAGTTGAGCAAGAGACAAGGGCATGATACTCAGCCTCAATGGAGGATCTAGCAATCGTTTTCTGCTTTTGAGAGCACCAAAAAACATGAGACCACCAAGATAAATAATGTAAGCAGAGGTGGAACTAGGTAATCATGATTACTATCCCAATCGACGTCGGTAATGGTTGTCAAGCTGAAGTTGGAGTGTTTGGAAAGGAGTAAGTCATAGTGAATGGTATGTTTGAGGTAGCAAAGAGTTCTTTTGACGCCAGATCAATGATTATTAGAGGGGTGGTGCATGAATTGAGATAGTTTATTTACATCAAAGGAAACATGCGAACGAGTGAGAGAGAAGTATTGGAGGTCACCAACTACGTGGCGATATTGAGTGGAATTAGCTGGAGGGACACCATCATAAAGAGTGAGAGAGAGGTTGTAGTAGACATAAGTGCGTCACATTTCTTGGCACCTACCATTTTGGTGCGAGAAAAAAGGTCCCTAATGCATTTATGTTGACTAAGGAAAATATCAGAGGATGATTGAATGACCTCGTTGCCATGTAGCTAAGAGACCCTAATTTTTATTATCTAAAAGCACATAAAGAAGGCATCAGTAAAATGTAAAATGTGATACAACGTCATTATAATTTCGATGAAAAGGAGGTGTCAACATAGACCAGGAACTAGATGCTAATGGATTTAGAGTAGAACAGGAAGAGAGATGGGTTACTCTTAGAATTTGTGAAGCCTCAAGATAGAAGAAAACCTTTAAGCTTAGTGTACTAGGCATGAGTTGCCTATTTGAGGCTATCTATAGCTTTTTTAAGACAACAAACATGGGAAGGCATGATTTGGGGTTTGGACATGGTAGTGATAGTTTGAGGAGACAAGATGTGCCATCAAAAAATCGCATGAGATTAAGATCATAGGAAAGGTGAATTGCACCAGTTATGAAAAGTAGTTAGAAGAGATGACGGAGAGAGGGAGTTCAGTGCTAGCATTGATTTGCTCTAGATTATCAGAGGTGGAGTCTATTTTGGATAACAATGGTGATTGTGTTTACATTCATTAGTGAGAATATTGGAGAGGATGAAAAGAGAAGAAATAGAGGAAGTGGGCAAAAAAGGGTGGACAAAAAGTTTTTATGAAGAAGAACTTGTGAGAGTCTCTGATACCATGTAAAGAATAAAAGCG